AACTTATTAGACATTATGATTCCTAGTTTAGTCACATAATTTTTAGTTACATATTTTTTTTCCTTTTGAAGTTAATGTTTGCCTTTTCTGTTTGGTTGGTTTTCTATCTTCCTTCCTTCCTTGCTTTCTTTCAAAAAACACATTGTTCTTTTATTTATATTTTATTACTGATTATGGGTATGCATGTGTGTCTGTAAATGGACTCATGAGTGTAGGTACTTGTAGATACAGAAGAGGGCACCAGATCCTCAGAGCTGGAGTTACAGGTGGTTGTGAGCCACTGAGGTGGAGACTGGGAATTGCACTTATCTCTCCAGCCCTATGATTAGCTTTTTTTCTTTGTTTTTTTTTTTATTTTGTTTTTCCATACAAGGTTTCTCTTTGGGGCTTGTTCTGGAACTTGCTCTGTAGACCAGGCTGGTCTTGAACTCCCAGAGATCCAACTGCCTCTGCCTCCAAGTGCTGAAATTAAAGGCATACCCCACCTCCACCCAGCAAGATTTATATATTATATATATAGTGTTTCTGTCCGTAGACATGCCTGTATGATAGAAGAGGGCACCAGATCTCATTATAGATGGCTGTGAGCCACCATGTGGTTGCTGGGAATTGAACTCAGGTCCTCTGGAAGAACAGTCAGTGCTCTTAACCCCTGAGCCATATCTCCATCTCTCCAGCCCTTTTCCTTCCTTCCTTCTTTCCTTCCTTCCTTCCTTCCTTCCTTCCTTCCTTCCTTCCTTTCTTCCTTCCTTTCTTCTCTCCTTTCCTCCCTCCCTTCTTCTCTTCCTCCCTCCTTCCCTCCCTCCCTCAGTCCATCCGTCCCTCCCTCCCTCCTTTCTCTCTCTCTTTTTCTCATGATAAGCTTTCTTTATGCTTTCCACTAATTCACCCCTTAATGCCTGCCTTGGTTTGGGTTTTTATTACTGTAATAATACACTAACCAAACACAATTTGAGGAGGAAAGGGTTTATTTTAGTTTACATGTTCCAGTCCATTACGGGGGTGTGGGGCAAGGGAGGGAGGCAGAAACTCAAGACACTGGCATGGTTTGTTTAACCTTCTTTATTATATCATCTAAAGTCCCCTGCCCAGGGTAACACATTGTCGCGAGTAGGCTGGACCTTTCCATCAATTATTAATCAAGGAAATGTCCCATAGACTTCCTACAGGCCAGTCTTACGGAAGCCTTTTCTCAATTAAGATTCCCTCTTCTGAGAAGTGTCTAGGCTTGTGTCAAAGGTGACAAAAGCCAGCCAGGACACTGTCTGATCTGCTCTTAGTGCCGAAACACATCGCACATTTCTATTAATTTTATCTTCATGACCTCAGAGCCTCCTGACCAGCTCTAGTCTGGGCAAGTGACAGAGCACTGTTAGTCAACTTTCCATCTCTGTAAAACCACGCAGGGCGATCAGCCTCTAGTGGGAAAAGGCTTACTTGGTCTCGCAGTTTGGGTGGTTCTAGTTCACGCATGTATGGACTCCTTGTTTCCAGGCCTCTGGTCTAGGGGCAGATCATGCTGAGAGTGTGTGATAGAGCAAAACTGTTAAGATCATGTGTGAAACACAGAGGAGGAAGGGGCTGGCGTCCTGCTATCCCTATGAGGGACCCCAATGACCTGCAGACCTCTCCTTAGGCCCTACCTCTTAGAGCTTCTACCATGTCCCAATAGCACTGACCTGGGGAGCAAAACTTTAAGAACATTCTAGACCTATGCTCCAGTGAGCTTCCCCTACCATCCCTCAGTCAGTCCCTTCCTCCCTCTTGTGCTCGGCTCCCTGTCTCCTGGATTCAGAATCGTTTTCTTTGCCAGTTCTCTCATTTTGGTGGGACACATCCTTTAATACTTAGCACCGCCTTCAGAGAGGTTGCATAGGAAGTGTTTTGAGATCTTACATGTCTATAAATGTCTTTGTTCTACCCACACACTTTATTTTAGTTTGACTGTATAAAGTTCGGATTACAAAACATTTTTCATGCTTCATTATTTTCTAGTTCTCAGTGCTGCAATTGAGAAATCCAAGTCTTTCTGATTTGTTTGTTTTGGGGTAGGGTTTTGCTATGTTGTTCAGGCTAGTCCAGACTTCTGGACTCAAGGGGTCCTTCAGCCCCACTCTCTCAAGATCTGGGCCATAGGTCGGTGCCACCACACATTGCTCTTCTCCCTGGGTTGAAGCTTGCTGACCCCCCCCTTCTCTGTGGAGTTCTCCCTTGTTCACAGTGGAGTAGAATTTCACAGTATATGTTTCTATTTTCATCGCTGTGCTGGGTTCTCACGGGGCTCGCTCAGTGTTCAGCCCCACGTCTGCTATCCTAGGAGCTCTCAGCGATTCCTTTTCTGCACAAAATGAGGAGGAGCAAACCCGCTATTCCAAGTCTTCAGATGGTGGGGTTTGGGAACAGTTCTGTTTTTGTTTTCTTGTCTTTTTTACCCCTCTCCAGTTTTCCATAAAGTCTTTGACTGTGTTTTTGAGTTTTTTTTTTTAATGTCAACTTGTTACTATTGAGATTTTCTGTCTGCCATCTTATTTTAAATTCCTAAGCACATGGGATTGTTTTAGAATATATTTTTATCTTCCCATGAGTCCTGTTCCCTCTTGGTTGCTGTTTTCTGCTTGTTTGTTCTAACCATTATTTCTCTTACCTGACCCAGTGATCCAGGCCTCTTTTGACATGTATGAGAAGGGGTTTCCTTACAGTTAGTGAGGATTTTTGTTTTGCTTGGTTTTTTTGAGACAAGATTTCTCTGTAGCTTTGGAGCCTGTCCTGGAACTAGCTCTTATAGCCCAGGCTGGCTTCAAACTCACAGAGATCCACCTGCCTCTGCCTACCGAATTAAAGGCGTGCACCACCACCACCCAGCAGTTAGTGGGGATTCATGTGTGTTGGAGAAGGCTTGTTGAAGGTGGCCTCATTGAGGTGATCTGGTGATTACAGTTCTGTGGGGACCTTCTTGTTGTCAGTATCCTTAGGTTGCTTTTCCCCCTTTGGACAAGCTTCTACGGTGAATATGCTTCCCATGGCCCATAGGGTACTATCTAACAGTATGTCAAAATGAGTGGGGGTAGGAAAGGTGGTGGGCTCTCGGAGGTTGCCTGTGGCCCCCTACTAAACCCCTAATAGACCTGCTCTGCATGTTTTAATATGCTGTCCCTCTCCATCACACCAGGTGCCCTGATGTTAGACCCCCAGACTCAGCAGCGACTGAGGGGCGGTCCTGAGGAAGGAAGGACTGGGATCCAGCTGTAGCTTAGGCTTCCACCCGCACCCCTGTGCTTGTCCTACGTTCAGCCTCCTCCCAGGCCTTTGCTGAGGATTCAGCTTTATTAGGTCATCCTCCTGCCTTCAGTTTGTCTCTGCCCTGTTCTAGCTTCTTCATGGTTGTGTGGGGCTTACACCCTTACAGGGGTGGAAGGAGCTGATTTTAGTCTGCCTTTGCTTGTTGGGTCTTTCTATGGACCCAAAGGTGGTTTGAGACTCACAGTCCTCCTGTCTCAGTACTGGAGTTACATATAAACTAGTAAACATATAAACATACCACTAGTATGTCATCTTCAACCATACCTCCAAATTTCTTTTGTTCTCCTTTTAAAAATGAAGGTAGCTTATGAAGTAATAGGTTTCACCGTGACATTTCATACATATATATTATTTTACTTTGCTCATCTCTACTCCCCACTCCCTTCCCCATCCCTCCTCCTGCTTCCGGTGATCCCCTCCTCCCCAAATGGTCCTCCTTCTGTTTTCATGAATGCAAGAGAAAATGTGATATTTGACCTTTCTGACACCATGAACCCCACTTTACCCCACCTCCAGCTCTCCTAAAACCTTCTCCCTCTTCTCTACTTCCATGCCATATCTGGATTTTTTGATATTAAAAAAAACTTTTAAAAATTTATTCATCATAGAGAAAATACCACAAACCATCACTCTCTTCAACCCCCACTTTTTGCTCTGCTTTCATGGGTCTCTTGGTCTGCTAATTAGCCTGACTGTGTGTTTAGACTAACTGACTGGTCACACCCTACTCAAACACATAAGATCTCAGTGCTCTTGAGAAGGGAATATGAAGAGCCGCACTCACATGCTCTCTTTAAGGCAAGAAAATGACGACTCTTTTGGAAGTGGTGTTATGGCGTACATCATGGTGTGGTGTGGGATAATTATCTGTATTCTGTCAATCATGTATTTTAATAAAACGCTGATTGGCCAGGCAGGAAGTATAGGTGGGTCAACCAGACAGGAAGTAGAGGCGGGGCGATGAGAACAGGAAAATTCTGGGAAGCAGGAAGCTCCCTCCGCCATTCCTGCCCAGACCACAGACCACCCAAGAAGCAACATGTGAGCTGACAACTGAAAAAGGTACCAAGCCATACGGCTAAAATAGATCAGAATAATGGGTTAATATAAGCTATAAGAGTTAACAAGAAGCCTGAGCTAATGGGCCAATCAGCTTTATAACTTATAGAGATCTCTGTGTGGTTGATTTTCTCTGGGACTTGCTGGCTGTAGGGTACCGGGCGGGAATAGATACCCCAACAAGTCGGCCTTCATGTTACAATGGTGGAACGAAGGAATTGTTGTTCTGTGTGTTCAGTATCTGTTGTTGCCCTGCTGGCTTTTTAGAGGAGGCAGACATCATTTTTCTCAGGGGATGATTTGAGAAGACCATGTTTAGTGCGTTTGCTTTGCTAAGGACTTCTGGGGTGGCATCTAGGTCACTCATACGTTGAGAACTTGAGGCATAGAATATTCAAATCCAATTTTGAATAGGTTGAGGAGGACTCTGGGAAGCTGAAAGGAGCTGGCTGAACATGCTTTTCCTGGGTCCTTTTTCACACGTTTGGACTCAGCTAGTAGTGTGTGCCTATAATATTAAATATTTATCTTTATAAAGGATGGATGAACATGCATCATATAGGGTCGATGACCAAAAACAGTAAATATAAAAAAATCAGAATAGCTTTGGAGGCCAGGGAAGGCAGGTTTTATTTGAGGCATCTTTGCTTTATCATTCTAAAGTTAACACAATTTGGCCATTTGGTTTTGGCATTCTGAGGCCTTGAGATACCCACTGTCTTGTCTGTGAACCTCTTCTACCTGTTCCCAAGTTTATTTACTTCTTTTAATTGCCAGGAGGCCAGGCCTTTAAGTCTTTTAGTGTATTAAGGGGTTTATGGCAAACATTTTTTTACAATGTATAGATAGAGGTGGTGGTGAACACTGTCTTATAATGTGTAGATAGATGTGGTTGGGATTGTTCTTTCGCAGGGTTTGTTTAAGGCAAGCATATTGTATAAAAATGGAGAACAACAGAAGAGCAGCAACAACAGTAATCGCACACACACACACACACACACACACACACACACACACACTTTCCATCCCTAGCATACCCGCTTGTTTTTGATCCATCCCTAGTGAGTCTTCTCTTGATGTCACACAGTCATGTGATTTCAGCTGAGTGTTTCTGAGGTTCACAAGTGTTAAAGGTGACAGAGCGTCAGACCCAACACGGCACACCTCCCTGACACTGATGGGCTCTATAAACAGACTAGAGAGCATCAAACCCCATTTTGAAAAGCTTTACACTCTATAGAAATTACTCAAACCACTTGCGTGAGTCCGTGCTGGCATTCTCTGTATCTTCACGTCATATACTTACCATCGGTATTGTTTTTTTGCTGTGATAAAACGCGTTGACCAGAAGCCACTTATGGAAGGATTTATTTTGGCTTATGGTTCTAGAGCCTGAGAGTCCACCATGATGAGAAGCAGGCTTGTGGCAGGAGCAGGAAACTGCGCGCTTACATCCTCGACTGTAAGCATGAGGCAGAAAGAGTGGGCTGAAAGTGGTATAACGCTTCTTATCTCAGAGCCTGCTCCCAGTGACGGTACTTCCTCCAGAAAGACCGCAGCATCTAAACTACATTCCCAAACAGTACCACAGCTGGGGAACCAAGGGTTTGAGTCCTGAGACTCTAGGGGACAGTTCCCGTTCAATTCACCACACCATCCCAGGTACCCAAAGTGCTGCGGTCACTCAGAGTTTAGGAGACGCTTCTGGCAGTGACCAGAGAAGGCAGGGTGTGAGCAGGATTTGAGTTTTAGAAGATCTCAAGTGTATGTCACAGACAAATATGTGTTTGGGGAGGTTCCGGGGGAGAGGATGACATCACGCCTGGCTGGTGGATAATTGAGTCCACTAGGGGACTAGAGGGTCAACTAGAGAATGGGCCAAGGGTGCCAGACTTTGGTGGAGGTTGAGCTTAGAGACTGGGTTGTTTGGTCTAGGGATGCCTGATAAGAGTGTTTTTTAAAGCTACCTTTGTTGGGATTCCACCGCTGGAGATTCTGGCTCAAGAAGTCTGGTGTGGTGTCTAAGGATTCTGTGCTTGGGAAAATCTCTTCAGCTAATTTCATTGCTTTCAGTGCTTAAACCCCAGACATAGGAGGTGATCACAACAGCTCGTTTTGAAAGTGATGGAACTGGGATAAGAAGGGGTAAGCGTGAGAGAGATTATGTAAAGCAAGACCAGAAATCAATAGGGAACAGCTCTCTACTCCAGCATGTCCTTCAGACTGGGGCGTGCTGGGTGTCCACCCTATTGGCAGCTGCAACTGTGTCTCTTCCCAGTCCACCCCAGGAAACAATTTAACTCACTCCATGGTTCTTTGAGAAACTTGTAATAGTTTTTGAAAAGAGATGTTTTCTGCACATTATTATTGCTGATGTTATTTTTGTTTGCAATGCTAGAAAAGCTATTATAATTTCTCCTCTTTATCTATATTCAATTATTCCCTTTAAGAGAGAGTTATAATACACAGAGCAAAGACATTAGGAAAAGAATCTTCAAGTTTCTGTTGCATAGAGATAGACAATTCCCATAAACAATACAGCTCTAACTTGTCCTTGAACGTCTTCAGAGTAATGGGAGATTCAGAGATATTATTATGCTGCATTATATTTAAGACAGCTAGGTACTTCTTAAGTGCATTTAAGTCTTGTTTGGAGACTAGAAAAAAAATAATGGGTTCCATCACAAATCCTTTATGTCGCAGCACAATGTTTCATTAAAGGCAGAGAAAAGAGCTGATGCAGGGCCTTCCTTTTTGGGGAGGCTGATTCTTTTTGTTATTCTTTTTGTCAGTTTAACAAAGACTGACTTGTGGAAATATGCACATACGCAGCCATCAGGATAGCAAAACTTGAATTTGATGAACAAACATATTTGCTATATTTTATTTTGTCTCCATGACTCAGCATTGGTAATTTTCCTTGAAAAACTGAAAACAAAGTTTTCTTCCTTGTAAAATACTTTGTTCTTTGGAACAGTCCTAGTATGTGGCTTGTTGAGTTACTTTTCTATTGCCCTGAAGAGATACCATGAGCAAGACAGCTTATAAGACAAAGTATTTAATTGGGGGCTTGCTTACAGTTTCAGAGGGCTAGAGTCCATATTCACCATAGTGGGGAGCATGGCAGGCAGGCAGGCAGGCAGACATGGAGCTATAGAAGGAGTTGAGAGATTATATCTGATCCACAAATATAAGGCAGAGGTGGGGGAGGGGTGGTGGTGGTGGCGATGACTGGTAGTGGCTTGGGCTTTTGAAACCTCAAAACCCACCCCCAGGGACATACCTCCTTCAATAAGGCCACACCTCCTAATCCTTCCCAAACAGTCCACCAGCTGTGGCCTAAGTATTCAAATATATGAGCCAGTGGGGACCATTCTTATTCAAACCACCACATGGCATAATTAACACTGTGACATTTTCTTCACTTAGTGTAAGACTGTGGAGGTCTGAGAAATGCCATGTAGCCTGGCTCTGCACTGGTCCTAGGAAGCTAGGGTCAAGGAATGTCACAGAGAACATGGTTTATGGGCTGTGAGACACAAGACAATTAGGACGCCCACAGAAGACTTGTCTTTCAAATATGCTTGTTTATTCACACAGACATTCCTTACACTATCGTGTTAGCATACAAGTTAAACAGCCATCTTACCAAGTGGGGAGCAGCTGCTTGTTCTTCTTCAGTGAGGACTTTGGAAGTGTTCAGGCTCAGCCCACATCCACCGTGAAGTCCTTTAGCGATGGCAGCCTGGGAGGACCCTTGAGAATTAGACCCACAGCTAGGTTAACGCTGACAGGTGGCCCCGTGTGGGCTCAGCGACAGTGCCACTGAAACCAGGGCCACGCAGTCCTCTTGTAGGTAGGGATCAACACAGAGGCCACAGAAGTCCTGTCTCAGGAGCATGGCAGCGTGATCCCAGAGACCCTTCCCAAAGTTCAATTCCTATCTTTTCACTGGGAGGTAGCTTTGCCTGTCACCTGGGTGCTGGCTCACCAATCAGCTTTGCCTAGGGGTTAGCTCATTAGCATGTCAAGGCCTGTCCTGGCTAGGCTCCTATCTGCATTGCCAGGTGGCCTGCCAGGGGCTTGCTTCCTAGGCCCATCTCTTATCAGAGCTACTTGGTAGTTATTTCAAGTCACATAAAATGGCTTTTGAGTTATAGAAAACGATTTTTAAGTTCTGTCCCTAATCAGTGTGTTTAGGAGCGGGAGTGTTACCAACCAGATGGCTGGTGTCCTTATTCTCCACCCAGCTAAGAATTGTCAGGAAACAAGGAACAGCTCTTCAAGGGCCTGGCTTTGGAGGTTTCTGTATTCGTTGGCATTTGGCAGGCAAGAGCTGCAGCAGGTGGCGCCCTCTAGTGTCACAGCCCTCAGGCTGGCCGAGGGTAGTGGGACCCTGAGCTCTCCAAATTTTACTACACAGGGCCAGGACTGGAAAACTGGGGTTCCTCAGCTCTCAGCAGAGTCTGGTGTTAGAGCTTCAGGTGGGCCCGTGATGACAGCTCTCATGGTGGGGTGTCCATGGTCCTTGATCTCAGAGATCTGACAGCTCTTTAGGGTTCTCCCGGTGACTGGGGTTTGCAATTTCTCTTCTCTGGCTCCTTGCAGCTTCCTATCTCTCTTACGCCTCTGTCTGCTTCAGCGATCCTTGTTTCTGCCCCGGCACTCTCTCAGAATGTCCGGTTGTCTCTTGTTGCTATGGCTGCTCTCTTGGTTGGTGCCATTTTGGAAGCTGCTACCAACACTCCTTTTGCCGCTGCGAAGTCTGCTATTCTTAGCAGCTGGTCTGGTGGCTCCCTCTCTTTTACATCTGCCCAGGAAGTCGGCTGGCTGTTCTGCCACGTTTGCAGCTTGGTTTGCTGTCCACTCAATGCTCCCCCTCCTTCAGATGCCAAGCCGTGGGATGCTCCACTGCCATAGGCATGCTGACTGCTCTGGCATTGCGGCCACACCACTGTTTCTGCTGGTTTTGCCATGTGTGGTCCTCTAGTGGTACAGCTCTCATACCCAGCAGCTGTTAAGAGGCCACTCATGAGAGAAACTGTTACTTCAACCCATTATGGCAATGCTAAGGAATGCCACACAGGAGGGTGCTCCCGAGTCCCAATAGCCTGCTTATATAGCCAGAGGGGGTATTTGGACCAATCGTAGGAAACACTCATGCGAAAGAAAGTTTGTGTTTCTGTCAATCATACTGTTGTCCCTTCTGCATCAGTCACTGCTGTCCCTCTCTCAGAAGTATTCCTCCCTCTGGCCTGGGTGGAAATGGATAGAGCTTGGGATAGAGGAAGGTTGGGCACAAACTGTCAGTCCTGGCTAGGGCTACATCTCCAGCTGCTAGAGCAAGCAGCTGTAATTGTTGTGTGGCTTCCTTAAGGCACTCATGGAGTGATCAGAATGGCTGGTGCTGGCATAAGGATGACTCCTTGGCTGACAATCCTTTTGTTCAAGGCAGCCAGAGTACCAAGGGAGAATCCTACAGCTGACAGAGGTCAAATTGCTCCATCCCTCAATATTTTTGTTTATTTACAAGCATATTTACTGTAAGAGCTTAAAAAACTTATCATTATCACTGGGGGTGATTTTAACAGTGCGCTAACAGTCTGCTCAGGGCCCTAGGGAGAGGTGGGGTCCCCCTTGTCACAGGGAGAGATGGGGCTTCCTTATCTGGCACAGCGAAGTCTGCCACTAGCCTCCAGAGGGCAGGTGTGAGCCCTAGAATGCTGTCCTCTGTCGTAGCAGAGAATAAAGCATGCATTTATGTGACGCACTCTTCAAGCATTTTGTGTTTCAGTCTGAATCACAGCGTTCCCTTCCTCTTCCACTGAGACCCCCTGCGGAGGATCTCACACCCTTTAGCAATTACTCAGCTCCTGCTCCCACTGCTGCCCGGCACTTAACTCCTTAGCGGTCTTGAAATTCGTGTCTCATTCCCCTTCTCTCCCTTCCTATTACATAGCTCAGGAAGGCCGCAAACTTGATATCCTCAGACTTCCACTGCCCTGGTGCTGGGATTACAGCCTTCCGCCACACCTCCCCCGCTTTAAATTACACTTGTTCGGCCCACTTCCCTTAGTTACTGTTCTATTGCTGTGACCAAGGCAACTATTCAAAAACATTTAATTGGGGGCTTACTTAACAATTTCAGAGGTTAGTCCATAATCATCATATAGGAAGTATGGCATCAGCCAGACAGGCATGGCACTGGAGAAGTAGCCAAGAGCTTTCTATCCAGAGAGAGAGAGAGAGAGAGAGAGAGAGAGAGAGAGAGAGAGAGACACTAGGCTTTTGAAACCTCAAAGCACACCCCCAGATATCACCTTGTCCGACAAGGACACATCTCCTAATTCTTCCAAACAGCTCATCAGCTGGGAACCAAACATGCAAATCTATTCTCATTCAAACTATCACACCCCTTTATCAAAATCCCAGACATTTGTTTTTCAAAGATTTGTCATGAAGGTTGTCAGATACCCCGCCATTCAACAATCATGTAATGAACATTTACTCTCTGTTTTATTGAAGCCATGACTCAAGCTCGTCAGAACACCGTGCCTGAGGGGGTCACACATGCACTTCCATAGTCCACATGTACCAGTGTTCCCGGCAGTGCTTAACTGCAACCCATTCCTTTCCTCTGAACCCCCAGGTCTTGGTTGCTCCGCGGCTGTGCAGCTGCGTAGGGAAGGTGGAGATGTCCTGGGTCATTCAAGCTAGATTAGATTTTAACGAAACCAGGCTATCTTAGTCTTGAAAGCCAGTTTGTTGAAAGACAAACAGTCTTTCCAGAGACTTGCGGCTTACATAATAAGAGCAAAGCTGGGTCTTCACAGTTTACAGAATTTTTACTGTGTGTATAAGAGGTAACTCTGGGTATGACGCAGGATAAAGGAAAGCCACCTTCTCCCAGAACTGGGGGAGAAAGAGGGAGAAAGGGACATTTTTACGGGAATGATTTATCTTTTCAGTGACATCTGGGTGCCAAATGAAGCATGATTAATAAAAGCACAGATCTCCACAGGGTCCAGAAGCAATGCTGGGGATGCTGGGAACTCTAGGGTGTATCTCTGCTTCCCTGGGAAGCAAATGTGTGCTGTGGGTTCAATAGAGACTCTCAGTGCACATTCAC